CCCCCCCTTCCACACAGCCCCCTCACAGATCTGTAAGCATGTGAGAGTGAAGTCAGTGTTTTCCGAGACACTTGCCAGAGTGTGGGACCAAAATTATGTGTGCCCAGTAAGTGTCTGTTCATTAGAAGCATTCAAGCCGCAGAATTACAAAGACAGAACTTGCAAAACTGATCTAAACTAGTATACATGTAGTAAACTAGTAATTGTACATCCATTCAACTTCTGTATATTTATTCTTACCTTTCTGAGCCGCACTTTGAACACGTTGTCTTCTTTCTGATCTGCATGCTCATATGTTCCATCTAAAGCCGAACTGCCGTCTTGTGTATCGTTGTATATAACTGAACGTACGTCTTCCCTTGACGCCTCCATTGTGGCTCCTGGCTGGTGGTGTTCTCTGTGACCATCTGCCACCTCAGAGGCAGGTGACTCACTGAAGTGAGGACCTGAGGCTCGGTTACCATGGAGTCCCTCGTTGACCTCTGTAGAGCATGGTGGCAGGTTTTGCGTGTGTTGTTCAGCAACCTCGTGTTTATCATCCAAACAGCAGCGCTCAGCAGCTGGATTTGGGGTACTGTTAACATCATTATTCTTTTGAGCATGAAGTAGAGAGCTGTCTTTTGCCTCCACAGGGCTGATCTCTGGTATAGTGTCCAGTTTTGAACAACTATATTCTGTCTGATGAGGAATGGCGAGATCCTCACTAACAGGCGCTAAACTTTGGTCAGTATTTCCCAGTGACTGACTTACAGAAACTTTCACATCCTTATCTGCACACTGTGTCGTGTTTGTCCCAATGGCATCTCCTGCATGTCCAGAATTCATTTGTTTAGATGACACGTTGCTGTCTGCCATTAAAGAGCAGCACTGATTTATGACACTAACATCAGATGATTCAATAGGTCTGACGTGTCCTTTTTTCGCGCTGCTTTCTGCTTGTGCACTTTTCTCTCCCTGGGGCCTGCTCTCCGCTAACATTTCAACATTGTGCTGCTCCAACAATGTCTGGTTGGATATTTCCCAACCATGATCCTTATCCAACGGCCCAGCACAGTCTTCATGGTCCCGCTCTTCTCCTACAGTGACTCTTGAGAGACAGCTCAGTCCTGTATTTTCATTTAGAGTTCCTAGGTCACTCAATCCATCTTGCTTGTCAGCAGAACATGCACTCCGGCTCTCAGATATTCCTTTGTCACATTCTCCATCTGCTACTAATGATTCCACAGTTTTGTTGATTAGCGACAGTGCTTCACCACCCTCCATATTTGCTGAGCTTAGCCGAGCATTCATACCAGGCAGGTCAGAGATGACAGTCTTGCTTTCCTCAACATCTGGGAGGTCGGGTTGAGGTTCCTGTTCGGCAGCAGAGCAACAGTTTACTGTGGCCCCAGTGATTTCAGGAGGTCTGCTGTAACCCTCTCTATGGCTCCCCTTTGTATCCTGATGGTTTGGAACTTTGCCAGGTTGCTCACCAGCACATTCAGACAATGGAGGCACATTGTTGGAAGAGATAGAGACGTATTGTTGGTGAGAGATACGTGCACTTTTAAAGACACTGTCATCGCACATGCTGTGATTCTGGCAACTTTCTGTGCACAAATCACTTTTATCATCGATAGTGTTATCACTGCTATCAGTTGCACAAGAAATATTTGCACTAGACATACCACTGTTTGAATTACAAAACTCTCCAAAATTCCCAGGGCTTGCGGTTTGGAGATCCTCTGAGTCAGAGTCAGTCTTTGGGAGTATGCCAACACCCACCAACTCATAAGACCGATCCACTGACTCCTGCAAATCCTTTCCATTGTTTTCCATTAGTTTTAAGTGTTCCGGTTCAGTATCATCATTCATCACAGAAGCTCCTCTTTCACAAGTCTGAGCAGGGTCATCTATAGGCAGCTGGTGGCATCCCTCTGGCATAGAGGAACACCTTGCCCGTCTACCTTGTTTCGAACCCGCAGAACCCATCCATAGCCCGTCGCCTTCGACCCCATGACAGCAGACGAGATCCAGATCATCATAGCTGTACTGTAATCCTGACGGGTGAGTCACATGCTCCTCCCAGCTTCTTTTACGTATGGCTACTGGCATGATGGGCAGCCAATGCTATCCCATAAAGCTGCTTTTGATGCCAGGTTAAATAGAAGGACCAGATCTGGTGCAACAAGAGGAGAAAAGGAGATAAGAAATAGCCAGTGTTGCAATGTTTTCACTTTGCAGGAGCTGAACGTACAAATAATGCTTCAACTTTCAAGTAAGCAACCCAAGTGTATTAATTTACCCAGGAAACCGATTTCTTTTGAAGCAGAGTTTTTCCATATTTCAGCTTGGCAACTACAAGTAAACTACCCTGATCTCTAACAATTGTTTAATTTTTTAAGACGGAGAAAGCTTAAATCGTTGAGATTAATGTAGACATCCCTCCGATTGTTTATCTTATCACAAACAGGAAACTGTAAACAAAGCAGTTTGTCAGATTTGCACCATTGTAACAGTAAAAAAAAAAAAAAAGTCTGAAAAAGTGCTGGGTGTTGGTTAACAGTCTTTCTGCACCCATTCACCTACAAAAATAAGAGACTGAAGTAGATTGAAGTAAAACTGGAACAGAATCCAACACTATCACAGAACCAAGTGCAAGTCTTATCACAGAATTCAAACTAAGATATACTGCATTACACTGCTCTGTGTTTTTTCTTCCTTTTGTGGTTGATTTCAATTTATAGATGTGAAGAAACATAGTGTAAATCTGCTATGTGTCGAGACAGACAAATAAAATATTTTGATTAAAGAGAACCATTCTTACTATGTAAATAACACAATTCAAAACAACATAGCATAGCCACCTTAAGTAGTCTGTGACAAAGAATCTGATTTTTTTAAGTGTATTGAAAGTATTTTAAAAATGGAAGACCTGCTTGAAGAGTTTCGTTTCCCAAATTTTCATTTTAAGTCAGAAGGATGACGGTTCTAACTGCCATTTGCACCCTTTGGCACAACCATGTACCTGATTTGGTTATATGTAAAATGAGGGAAAGGTCCAAAAAGCAGTCGCTCCTCTTACTTGCACTCCAACGAACAGCTGACAGCCGAACTCCACATTCTACAGTGGAGAAACACTGATGTTTACTTCTCATAAATACTCCAGTGATGACACATTGTTTAGCAACATAATCTGAAAGCTTTTGTGGAAATCCAGAAGTGGAATATATAATCCAAACCAAAGATTGCAGATCAATTAGTTCCTGAAATGCAGTTTGCCAAGAGATGTTTCTCAAGCTGACTTTTCATTCATCCTTCAAAAGAAATCTTTCCACGTTTGGGAAATTTTACTTCACTCTTTCCAAGCAAGAAGTCCTTACTTTAAGCTTCTACGAGCCTTTTTCTAGACCCGAGTCAGTATCTTCGCAGTAAAACTGTTGGACAGGCAGTGAAGCCCCCAGAGGAAGGCAGAAAGCCGGGAAGCAGTGAAAAGTCCATGGACAACTTCCATCTTGATCACATTATGGTTTTTGCTGACGCTGAACGCTCAAGAGTCGGGTTGGTGTAAGAGGGGCTGGGTTTTCTTTTCTCCCAGCCCTCCCTTCTCTCCTCCGCTCTCTCCTTTTTTCTCATCAGGTCCCCTCCCCGCTGGTTTTGACAGTGAGTCTGAGTCACATCTCAGGAGCCCCATCCCCCGTCTCACAACTCTCGAAGCACACCATACACTCCACCCTCCTCTACTGTACACTCGCTACTCGCTATTTCAGAAATATTGCTTCTCTTTTCAGGAGACATTTTCTTCATTCTTCTTTAGCTCCCTATTTCACCAAGCTGGGCAGGAGGAGTTGGCTTTGATTAGTAACAGACAGGCTGCTTTGTAAGACTTCGGGCTGCGAGCCAACTGAGATTGCTCTAATGTTTTAGCAGATATATCTGCAGCAAATTTGTCATCTTGTAACTACAAGTATTCTTAGATAAAAAAAAATACTGGCACTCGTGGAAAAAAATACAAGGCAAGATATCTTTATAGTTAATCTGGTTGGGGGGAGGTATTTAAAAATACACTAAAATGGTAAATCATATTTCAGCATTAAAACATACTTTATAATAATGGAGACAGCTTTAAAAGTGCTACGAACCTGACAATTTTCTTTTCAAGGAGATTAAGTGGGAAGAAAAAAAAATATTTAGGACCAAAATACCAGCAATTCATTTCCTAATATAGTAATTTTTCTGTGAAGCACTTTGCAGAAAGAAAGGGCAAAGCTGGCAATGACTACTCTTCATATCACAAAGACCAACTGACATAATTTGTTTTTAAACCCATAGTGAAATTAGGATCATAGCATAAGTTGAATACTTCATTTGGAAAGCCTGGACCAATTGAAAACCTCAAAATGTAAGTAATCTCCTAATTTCACTAAAAGTTCAGCTATGATCAGATTTATAATGAGTGTTTTTTGTGTTGTTGTTTTTTTTTGTTTCAGTTGGGTCAGCTGCATACCAACAGGGACAGTCCAAGCACAAGAGAAAACTGGAATGAAGACCCCTCCAACTATCTCTCTAACCCCAGCCTCTAACCTCTGGGTCATCCAGATGTGAGTTGAAGCTTTGGATGAGTCTTTTCTTAGGGGCTGCACTGGGAAACTGTGCACTACCATAAATGTTGCCTCTCCGGGGACACAGATGGTCGAACTCAAGGGCAAGCCATCCAAGTACAACAAGACTCTGCTGTTGTATGTCACATGATGCACTCTGCACTCTTACACCAAGTGCCATTTAATGAAATGCAGATTTTGTTTCGGTTACAGAAGCTTCCATGTGGATACGGTTGGTGATTGAAGTGCGGAGCCCGACACAGAGCATGACTCAGGCTATCCACTCATTATCTCCTGCGGACGTCCAATACTGCTCTATAATTTAAAAGGCTATGCCTTCCCCTGCCAATCACACCATCTTGCCCGTCCTCAGGGCAACTGGTGTACGTCACAATCTGATACACCAGTGATACTGTGAAAACACATATTTAGGCAACAACATGTGCAAGAGAAGATGCCCATTAGCAATGTTTCTGTGTGTGCAGTTGTGTGTGAACTGGAAGAGCAGTGAAGCACTAAATGTGGGAGGCTAAAGCAAAATGTAGCTTTGATGTGAGTACAGATCTACAACTACTGTGGAAGTTCAGGGAGGGACTAAATACAAGAATGTGAACATACCAACCATGACGTAACAATATGTATGCTGACCTTCAGCTAGGAAACTGTTAGGAATGTTCTCCATTCATGTAGACAAAGCTTGCCAGCATGCCACCAATTAATATTTAACACTGAACACAAAATACAAGTAGGCAGATTTAAATGATGTACTTTGCAAAACATACATGAACATACAGTATATAAAAACTGTGTTTTCTACATTTCTAACATGCTTGAAAGCCAATATTTGGTATGACGACCTTTATTCTTCAACACAGTCTAAATTTTTTAGGCAGGCTTTCTTCTAATTTCTTTAAGAAGTCTTCAGGAGTAATTCTACAGGATTCTCTGAAAGACATTCAAAGCTCTTCTTTGGCTTTTGGCTGCTGTTTGTTCTCTTCCCTATCAAGATGATCCCGTACTTCTTCAATAAATTCTGGGCTCTAGTCAGGCCTGATAATGTCCTTCTATCCAGATATGCTTTTACTGCATTGACAGTGTGTTTGGGATCATTATTGTGCTGAAAAAATGAAGCCATTGCCAATCAGAAGCTTTCTAGATAATATTGCAGGTGGATCAAAATCTGACAATTCTTTACTGCATTCACAATTCCATCAAGAACTGTAGCTTCATTTGCTGAAATACAGCCCCAGTACATGACAGAGCCTCCACTGTGTTTTACACTCAGGCACCCACTGCTGACAGTCTCTCCTGATCAGCTACATGTATATTGACAAGAATTTGAAAAAACAAAAATTGATTAATCACTTCATAAGACCTGTTCCCACTGATTTTCAGTCCAGTTTTTATGTGGTTTAGCATACCCCAGTCTTTTCTCCCTGTTTGTCTTCCTTAAGAATGGCTTGCTGACATTCAACCTTCCACTGAGACCATTTCTGATGAAGTTTTGGCAAACAATAGATGAATCAGCTGAAGGGCCAGATGCATCTCTCATGTCCCATGTCTGGTCTTTGCTGGAGTTTTTCCAGTGACTTTTAGATGCTGTTCATCTGCGGCAGACATTTTTGTTTCTTTTTAGGTCTCCCTCTCTTTGTTTTGTCCTCTATCTGTCCAGTGTCCTCAATTTTTTAAAGATATGTTGCACAGCATGCAGAGATATGCCAAGTTTTCAGCTAACAGCTCTTTGGGAATCTCTTTATTGGTGCAGATATACTATACTATACTATACTATTCTATTTTTTGCATGTCAAACTGTTATCTTTGGCGAAATATGCATTTTTGGAACAGGCTGCTTTTAACAACCTGCTTAAACATACAATTGGTTCAAAAATTGCTTCTTTGCTAAGTTTTCAGTTATGTGTAGAGTTATCACTGGATAGGTTTCACTACCTACTGGCAACCACGTGAAACTCACAAATCCCATCTTTCTAACAGTACATGTTTTTATTGTTACAGCTTTGAAGCACTCTGAAATTGGATGATTCTTTTTTGTATCATTGTGTAAATATTTGGTCATAAATCACAAAGCCAGTTTAGCATTTAACTACATAAATAGAGACAAGATTATGACACAAATTTATGACAATACCAGGACAGGTCATTTGTTTTTAACTAATCTTTAGCAGGAAGCATAAAAAGGATATGAGATATTTCAGGGTTTTTTAATTGAACTTTCTTCATTGATATGGGCACAGCGGATTTATCCAAAGGATTCTGCAATATTTCAGTCTGGCTTTACCAACAGATCTGCCATCCATTAAGTCATGCCATAAGTCATGTTTTTTATGGGAACATGTATTTGCCTTAGGAGTCACTGTTGCAAGTCAAACTCAAAGTCCCACACAAGAAAGGATGAGCATGACCATTTTTATAGGCATGCAATAGTGCAGGTCACAAGTCTGGATCAGTCACATACATGGATAAGAAAGGACCATTCATGATTCACCCTATAATCCCCCACTGTTCAACCCGTCAGATTCTTAAGTGGAGCAGCGAGGGCCCAGAGGAAACAACCCCACATTCCTCACTGATATAGTTTATTATTGGAAAAATAAGTCAGTCTAAATCATGTGCATTGAAGAACACAGTGTTTGCCCATGTAGGAAAATCTAGGTGACGTTTGCAGAGAAGAAAAATACTGTCCCTCCCATAACTGAGTCATTTTCAGGGCTTTCATATACAAAGACGGCTTTGAGTAGATCTTGTTGCTCTTTTTTAGGGTTTCTTTAAATAACTTAAAAAAACAAAAAACACTGTACTTGCCTGGTAGTTATGAGAAGTTGTGAAAATTGATCTTTGGTTTATTAACACTAAAAATACAACAAAACAAAGTTTCTCATCAGATGATCTAAATATAACATCCGCAAACCACACCGAGCTCTTTGCAAATCTTTCCTGTCACTTGCTATGCCCTGTGGTTAACAACTCTTTTTGTCTACAGTCATGCTAGTCTAAATAACTGTGTTTGAGGGCTGGGTGGGAACTTGAGCAGTCACAGTATTCTTGAATGAAATATCTCAATGAATATGATGCAACTTAAGAGGTTTGCCTTGATGTTTTGATTTTAAAAACTGCTTTTGTTCATTTGTTGATTTTGACTTGCTTTGTCTATGTGGGTCTAACCTCAAAGACAATGTTGTAGGAGAAACCCAGGGGCCCACTGATCACGGGTCATAGTGTGACTCCAACCGTGGGAACAGGAAGTACAAGTTATTAAGAATACAGACCATAATAGGCTAAAATAATCTAATCTTCCTAGGGAAGGGGCTCTGTGTCTATGTGTGTAAATGATGCAACTGAAGGACATTATAACTGTTCATGATGGCAGTTATATACGGTGTGGATGTATGCAACTGTAATAAATGGTAAATGGCCTGTAATTTGTATAGTGCTTTACTAGTCCCTAAGGACCCCAAAGCGCTTTACACATCCAGTCATCCACCCATTCACGCACTGGTGATGGCAAGCTACATTGTAGCCACAACCACCCTGGACTGCACTGACACTAATAGACTACTTTGGTTCTTCAAATCAAATGATAGGCTTTACATTTTTATGACAACAGTGGAAACAAAATCCTCACACACTCATAAAAGTCCCACTAGTGTTCACAGTGGACCATCCGGTCTTTCTTTTTTTGGTCTCTTGCATGGTTAAAGAGCTTGGACAGCCAACATTGTATTGCCATCTCAGAAGTCTCATGAAGAAGGCATCCCCCCACCTTAAAGAGGTCCCAGCAGATGACTGCCCCTTCCTGAATCTGGTCTTCCTGGATGTTTCTTCCTGTTAAAAGGGAGTTTTTCCCTTCCCACTGTCACCAAGTCCTTGTTCATAGGGGGTCTGATTGTTGAAGTTTTCTCTGTATTGTTGTAT